TAAAAATACCCCCCCCCCCCCCCCATCATTGGCAACATACAACTAACCCCGCCTCCTGTGATCTTCCTTTCCAGCCGCCTCCAGTCCCGAGTGCGCATCCTTGTGGACGGGAGCTTCCTGCTGCAGCAGGTCACCCCGGAGGATTCTGGGAAATACACCTGCATCCCCAGCAACGGCCTGTGGAAGTCGCCCTCGGCCTCCGCCTACCTCACTGTGCTGCGTATGTAATCGTCTACATCAGTAACTTCCTGTTATCGAGCACGGCGCAATTTCCCGGCAGGGGCGGAGCTAAACATCGAAAAGGAACTCCGCTGCGCCTCCCGGCTGCTCTACAGCGCCATCTGCCGGCGGTGTTGGTCAGCTCGGCCTGCCTTCCGCCCTTGGATCGGCTGACCAATGCCGAGGGAGGATTGGTCCCTCCGAGGCACCGGAAATATGATCATATTTGGGAGCATCTGTGACTCCCGCTGGGGAGATTTTCCCCACTTCCTGTCCCGGTGACACACATCTGAGACATGTGGGAAGGGTTGTCACCGGGACAGGAAGGCACAACAGCAATAAAAAAACATTGCCAGAGGTTTTTTTTTTTATACATTCCACGCTCTCCTAAAAATGTTTTTGTCCGTGTCGCCGATGGGGACACTTCCTGTCCTGGAGGCGCGGCACTTCCTGTTACAGGGCCCCTCCCATTTACAGATTTACGAGTTTTTCGATGTTCTGTTGACACTCTGAAATTATAAAATTGATACATTTGTCTCCGTTGTTTGTGAACGTCGGCGGATGGGTGTCATGTGACCGTCTCCTCTTCTTCTGATTGGATCTCACAGATCCGGCCTATGTGACCGACATGCCGGCCGAAACCTTCCTGCCCATCGGCATGCCGGGCGCGATCAGGTGCCCCGCCAGGGCCAATCCGCCGCTCCTGTTCGTCAACTGGACCAAGGACGGCCTCCCGCTGGCGCTGGACAAGGTAGGAGTCCTGACATGATCCTTGCTGACTGTATAGACTGCGGAGGAACTACAAGTCCCAGGAGGCATTGCAAGGCTCTGACACCACTGTATGTATGGAGGGGCAGCGTTGTCACCGTCCCCCTCTCTTCTCCACAACATAGGGTGGGGTGTTCTGTAGTCCCCAGAGAAGTCCCCAGAGATTGTACAGTATCTATTGGAGTAGGAGTGTCACCCTAGGACAGGACTACAGAACCATCCCAGCACTCTCACCTCCCCCAACATAGGGTGGGGTGTTCTGTAGTTCTCAGAGATTGAACTGTATCTATGGAGGGGCAGCATTGTCACCAAAGGACAGGACTATAGAACACCTTCCCCTCTCTTCTCCACAACATAGGGTGGGGTGTTCTGTAGTCCCCAGAGAAGTCCCCAGAGATTGTACAGTATCTATTGGAGTAGGAGTGTCACCCTAGGACAGGACTACAGAACCATCCCAGCACTCTCACCTCCCCCAACATAGGGTGGGGTGTTCTGTAGTTCTCAGAGATTGAACTGTATCTATGGAGGGGCAGCATTGTCACCAAAGGACAGGACTATAGAACACCTTCCCCTCTCTTCTCCACAACATAGGGTGGGGTGTTCTGTAGTCCCCAGAGAAGTCCCCAGAGATTGTACAGTATCTATTGGAGTAGGAGTGTCACCCTAGGACAGGACTACAGAACCATCCCAGCACTCTCACCTCCCCCAACATTGGGTGGGGTGTTCTGTAGTCCTCAGAGATTGCACTGTATCTATGGAGGGGCAGTGTTGTCACCCTAGGAAGGGACTACAAACGACCTCCCCCCCAACAGAAGGTGGGGTCTTCTGTAGACCCCTGAGATTGTATCTATCGAGGAGCAGTATTGCCACCCTAGGACAGGACTACAGAACCATCCCTGCCCCCTCACCTCCCCCAGCATTGGGTGGGGTGTTCTGTAGTCCTCAGAGATTGCTCTGTATCTATGGAGGGGCAGTGTTGTCACCCTAGGACAGGACTACAGAACCATACCTGCCCCCAGCATTGGGGTGGAGTGCTCTGTAGTCCTCCTCCTAAGGACGGGTAAGGTGGAAGTATATTATCAATAGCCAATGAATAGCTGATCTCGGCAGTCACTGAGCACGGATGCTAATTCTAGTCCACAAGGGGCAATCGGCAAAACACGGTACAATACTCCACCCGGCTCCTTCAATCTCCTGATGGAAGTCTCGTGGGGCCAGCGGGGCCCCCCACGGATCCAGATTCAGCCGACTGGCAGGAAAACGGCCCGCGGTCCCCCTGTGTATAATGTCACCGGACTGAACGTGATCAGTTCTCAGGACGGCCACCTGGTGGCGCTGTTTGTTGTCCATTGTACAGAATGATGTGATATTCATGGAGCTTCCACTCCGCTCTCGTTGCCAGTTCCCGGGATGGTACCTGGAAGAGGACGGGTCCATCGCGGTGACCACGGGGAACGACGACGCCCTCGGCACCTACACCTGCACCCCCTACAACAGCTACGGCAGCATGGGCAGGTCTCTGCCCACCGTCGTTATCCTGAAGGTACGGCCAACCATCTCTTGGGGACAACCGCCATCCCCCCCCCGTCCCCCGTCCCATATACAAAGCTCAGAACTTCTTCGGTCCCGCTGGGAACCTCCCCTACCAGCCACTCCAGCACCTCTGAGTCTGAGAGACCGCTATTTACTAGGATGGGGATCCTACATTAGAGTCCAGGAGGAAAGCCACAGGGGTGCAGAACATGGCGGCCCACCAACTGAAGGGCTGCTGGACGTGGGCCGGTCAAGGAGGTTGGTGGCTGGTCTGAGGTCGGGATTGGGTCATGTCTATGGGATGGGACAGGCAGACGGGGGATGGGACAGGCAGAACGGGGGATGGGAAAGGCACAGGGGGTGGGACAGGCACAGGGGTTGAGGGTTATGAAAGTGTCCTTCAAAAAAGACTCGGCAATGGCGGCCTCCCAATACTCCAAACTAAGAGGATCCCTTTTAATGATTTTTCCTTTTATTAGGACCCGCCCTCCTTCACCGACCTCCCAAAAGAGGAGTATTTCCAGGACGTGGGGAGGGAGCTGATCATCCAGTGCACCGCCTCCGGGGACCCGCCTCCCGTCATCAGCTGGGCCAAGGTAAGAGAGAGAGAGAGAGAGAGGACACTCAGGAACTCCAACCAAAACCTTCTCTATTGTTGGATATAGTGGTTCGGTGTTGAGGATTTTCCCTGAGCTTCGTAGAGACTTCTTCTAACTTCCTGTTGTGGCTCCCAGAACAGGAACTAAGGGAATGTCTTCCCCAATGGGGACGCTTGTTCTGATGACCCGTGTCCACCCATTGGTCAGGCTCTTTGGTGACTTGTTAACAGCACCTCATCTTGTCCTACAGCTTGGGGTTCCCGGTAAAAGTGGAGCTCAGATGGATGTGAACGGGAGTTTGATATTCAGACCTCTCACCAAGGAGGAGCACGGCACATGGGAGTGCGCAGCTGCCAACAACGTTGCCAGGATCAGCACACGCACCACTGTCTATGTACTGGGTATGTTATATGTGATAATGCAAGGCTCCTGCTTAAGAGTAGACACCCCAAGGTTCCTGCTTAAGAGTAGACATCTAAAGGTTCCTGCTTAAGCGTAGACACCGCAAGGTTCCTGCTTAAGTGTAGACAACGCAAGGTTCCTGCTTAAGCGTAGACACCGCAAGGTTCCTGCTTAAGAGTAGACAACATGCTTAAGAGTAGACAACCTAAGGTTCCTGCTTAAGAGTAGACATCTACAGGTTCCTGCTTAAGAGTAGACACCTACAGGTTCCTGCTTAAGAGTAGACAACACAAGGTTCCTGCTTAAGAGTAGACAACACAAGGTTACTGCTTAAGAGTAGACAACATGCTTAAGAGTAGACAACACAAGGTTCCTGCTTAAGAGTAGACAACACAAGGTTCCTGCTTAAGAGTAGACACCGCAAGGTTCCTGCTTAAGAGTAGACACCGCAAGGTTCCTGCTTAAGAGTAGACACCGCAAGGTTCCTGCTTAAGAGTAGACAACACAAGGTTCCTGCTTAAGAGTAGACAACACAAGGTTACTGCTTAAGAGTAGACAACATGCTTAAGAGTAGACAACACAAGGTTCCTGCTTAAGAGTAGACAACACAAGGTTCCTGCTTAAGAGTAGACACCGCAAGGTTCCTGCTTAAGAGTAGACACCGCAAGGTTCCTGCTTAAGAGTAGACACCGCAAGGTTCCTGCTTAAGAGTAGACAACACAAGGTTCCTGCTTAAGAGTAGACAACGCAAGGTTCCTGCCTAAGAGTAGACAACGCAAGGTTCCTGCCTAAGAGTAAACAACACAAGGTTCCTGCCTAAGAGTAAACAACACAAGGTTCCTGCCTAAGAGTAGACAACACAAGGTTCCTGCCTAAGAGTAGACAACACAAGGTTCCTGCCTAAGAGTAGACAACCCAAGGTTCCTGCTTAAGAGTAGACAACCCAAGGTTCCTTAGGCAGAAAATCTCTCCTCTCGTCCTGAAACTTCAACTTTCCAGTATTCTGAACACAGTCCTGCCCCCGGGAGGTAACCCCTCCCCAGCTTTTGGCTTTCAGTCTCATAGCAGTGTTCCTATTGGCCTCTGAGGTTGTCTCCCCCCAGTGATGATAATAGAAGTCTGATTTTGGTGCCGGTCTTTCGGCACGACATTTCATAGTAGATGTTTGCAGTGTCTGGTATTTGGTCTCATAACAGACTCCTCCTGTGTAATATCATCTTTGCAGGCACAAGCCCCCACGCCGTCGGCAATGTCTCCGCCCAGTCGTTGGTAAACGCGGTGAACGTCACCTGGACCCCCGGCTTCGATGGAGGATACATCCAGAGGTTCAGCGTTTGGTATGCCCCACTGTGAGTTTTTGTTTTACTAACCTAGAAGGAGATGTATCGATGTTTGTGCATGGACACCTTGTGTCCCCGGGGATGGTCCGGCCTTGTCCATACTTCCATTTCTCTGTAAGGGCAGACCTCAGAGAGCTTCCTTTACCATATTCATCACCAAGAATGACCTCAGAGAGCTTCCTTTACCATATTCATCACCAAGAATGACCTCAGAGAGCTTCCTTTACCATATTCATCACCAAGAATGACCTCAGAGAGCTTCCTTTACCATATTCATCACCATGAATGACCTCAGAGAGCTTCCTTTACCATATTCATCACCAAGAATGACCTCAGAGAGCTTCCTTTACCA